CGAGTTTTTCAAGCACAGTGTGCATCTCTGGTTCACATCTGCCTCCTGCTTGTCCATAGATGGCCTGTCCCAACTGGCAAACAAGATTGCGAGGACCCTGATGGAATCCCTCTGGCTGGTGCATGTAGACCTTGACATCCATGACTCCATTGAGGAATGCATGGGAAATGTCAATGGAGCGCAAATGGAGGTTGTGGATGGCTGCAATGGCAAGGACAACTCTGATGGACGATATACGGACAGTGGGTGCAAATATTTCGAGGAAATCAAAGCCAGGACGCTGGTTATAACCTTTGGCCACATATCTGGCCTTGTAGCGCTCAACAGTGCCATCTGAGTTGCGCTTGATCTTGAAGACCCACTTGCCACCAATTGCCTTGACTCCAGGAGGTAGTTCCACTAGTGACCAAGTACCATTGCGCTCATGAGCTTGGAGCTCTTCCATGGCTGCCTCTCTCCACTTGTTAGCATCTGGGCGCCTCATAGCATCTGCAAACGACCTAGGTTCAGCAGAATCACCAAAGTGGGCTATTTGATCACCATCTGCCTCAGAATCACTGTCACTGTCAATGGCAGGAGTGGGTTCTCTGTGTTGAACCCACCACTCTCCAGGTGGTTTCTTAGCCCTAACAGGACGTCTGAGAGCAAGAGGCATATCAGGAGATGGTGAACGATGAAGAGGTTGGTCTGGGAGTACAGGAGGCTGATTTACAGGAGGTTCTGGATCAAGGTCCAAATGAGGCCCATTGTCAGGCAATGGCTGAGGCTGCTGAAGCGCAGCTGGTGGGCCCATATCTCCCCCTGGACCTGGTGCAGGCACATCCTCAATCAGGCCCAATGGCATGGATAGCGCAGGTGGAGTAGGAGGTGGAGCTGGAGGTGGCACATTGTCAGAAGACCTCTTCAAGCCAGGGAAGTAGCGCTCATCAAAATCAGCTCTCTCAGAGATAACAGTGCGCTTGGTGGTAGGATTGTAGAATTTCCATCCCTTGTACCCCTCAGGGTAACCAATGAACACACATTTCTGCATATGAGAGCCAAAGACGCCCCTCTTGTCCTTTTGTACATGCACATAGGCAGTGCAGCCCCAAACGCGAAGGTGAGACATGTCAGGCTTGCGTCCATACCACAGCTCAAAGGGAGTGGCATGGGCCACTGCATCAGTGGGACACCTGTTCCAGACATGCACCAAAGCGGACAGACATTCACCCCAAAAGCTATTAGGCAATCCAGACTCTGATAACATGGCAGTGATACGCTCAGTCAGAAGTCTGTTTGCTCGCTCTGCCACACCATTCTGCTGAGGACAATTCCTGGTGGTATGCTGTCTGACAATCCCATGGTCATCTGTGAATTGCTCAAATTCCTTGGACATGTACTCTCCCCCTTTGTCATCGCGCAGAGCCTTGATTTTACGCTCCAATTGAGTCTCAGCATAAGCCTTGAATCTCTTGAAAGCATCAAAGACATCTGACTTGGCCTTGAGAGGCACAACAACACGGAATCGACTGTGATTGTCAATGAAGGTGACCCAGTAGCGATAACCAGAGAATGTGGGGGAAGAGACTTGGTGTACATCAGAATGGATGAGGTCCAAAGGATGAGCAGAGCGAGTATCAGATGAGGGGAATGGATTGGCATGCATCTTGCCAGACAAGCACGGTTCACAGACAGGATCAGGAGTAGCCTTGGATTCCAGTGTAAGCCCAGTGACCAGATCTCTCTGTATCAGTCTCTTGACATCAGCATGATGGTGGTGAGCCAATCTGCGATGCCAGAGCATCAAATCAAGTGGTATAGTCGCAGTAAAATGTCCCAATTCAACACAAGCAGCAGTAGATCCATCAAGGAATGCTGCATTGTTGTCATTGATAGTTGCAGTGAACAGGAGAGTGTTGTCATGCATAAAGGACATGGAATGAGATGAAATAGTGACATTGAAACCACTTTGACGAGTTAAATACAAGACTGAGAGGAGATTATTCCGAAGATCTGGTACATGGAGCACTCTAGAGAATTCCACAGCCCTAGCCACTTTGCCATTCATCACAGGATTAAACACCACAGTACCAACACCAGCTGAATAGACAACAGTGTGATCAGCCAGCTTGATTGGCACACAATATGGGGTATAGTGGTGCACCCAATGACGATGAGGTGTCATATGAGAAGTAGTGCCTGTGTCTGCATTCCAATCAATGTCAGCATCAAGTTGGAGAGGGCAATGAGGATCAGAGGGATGAATGGAACGAAGACTTGCATTTCCAGCTGATTCAGTGACCACAGTAGATGAATTGGCATTGTTGGGCGAAGATTTGGGCTGCTGAGAGGTATTCTGAGAGTTGCTGGAGCCTGCCTGAGCCTTATTGCCACACTTGTAGCAATTCTTAGCACCCTCCACTGCCTGTTGGCGACTAGCAATGTATCTGTGACATTTGACTTGGGTATGACCAAGTAAACCACAGAAATCACACTGAACGCGAGTAGAGGTGGTGGATTGGTTGCAATGATGGCAGTTAGGATGGGTGCAGGTGCTATTGGCAGTGGTAGACGAAGAATGCAAGGCAGAATTGACTTCAGCACAACAACAGTGATTGACCTCTTCAGCAAGGAAAGCATCCCTGAGCTGAGTCTTGTCCAAGGTGCCCAGAAGCAGGAGAGACGAAGTGAAGTGGGCATATTGATCAGGAAGCTCCCTAATCGTGACCATGCATGTCAGTTCATCATCCAATTCAGACAATGAGAAGCCAGTAGGACGGAGATTTTGAATCTGATGCATGCCTTCGTCAATTCTGGTCATGAGAGACTGCAGGGACTCGTCCTCCTTCTTTCTGATAGAGAAGAAGTCGTCATAGGCATTAAATCTTGTCCCAGGCTTCTTAGAGACGTGCACAATTGCCAGTTTCTCCCAGATCTTGACAGGATCATCAATGATGCCATCAAGATGGATGTGCTGCTCTTTGGTGACATTGAGGTATAATGCACCAGCAGCCTTTTCAGCTCTCAACTCCCATTTCTCTATTGCTTCAGTGTCAGTCCCAGGACACTTTTCAGCGCCAGAGACGAGCCTCCACAGTCCCTTGGTCATCAACCAAGCTTGCATTTCACCACTCCACTGGGGGTAGTTAGTGCCAGACAAGGGATGGAACTTGGGATCAGAGTCAGACATGATGGGTGTTGTATAAGACAATAGAGCAATGATAAATGATGTAGGAGACGGCTATAGGCGATGGAATAGTGGCAAAGACAATGGGCAACAGTAGGAGGCGAGCAGATAAGATGGTGAGGCGGTAGAGAGAGGATATGGAGAGGGTCAGAAAGCGCAAGGATAGGTCCAAATAGGGTCCAAAAAGCATCCAAAAGCAATCCAGGAGGGTGCTAAGGCTTCCTAGTGCTGCTACAGGGTTACGCCTGTGTTCCCCTTTCAATTCCACACTGATATTAACAGAGAAATTGCCTCGAGACAGTGTTGGTTAATAGGGCTTGTATATGAGTCAACAAAGTGACTTAAGCTCCCCAAACACCGCAGACTGAGAGAGGCTCTAGGCAACAGCAAACTGAGGCAATGCAGGCAAGCTTCACAGTCTATAGGCTTGTTCTATCTGATAATGGACAGAGTAGAGAAGATTGGAGCTTTATGCACACACCAGATATGCCAAAAAGCGAAAAATAGGGCAAAAAGCGAAAAATAGGGCAAAAAGTCGAAATTGATGCAGAGACAGATAAGATGGATGGATTGCCACCAAATCAGAGGTATAGGGAACATTTATAGAGAGCAATAGATGGCCCAAATATCACAAGAAGTGAAGCACAGGAAGTGGAGATATGCAATAGGGGTCCAATATCGGTGAAAGTGCCAAAAATGCAAACTTCACAGAGGGTTATGGAGTGGATGGATTGCCCCCAAATTGAGGGTGTAGAGTGCGATAGTATATGGTAGTAGATGGCTCAAATAGGGCCAAGATCCGAGCACAGGATGTGGAGATATGGAATAGGGGGCCAAAAGGTGCTCAAATAATGATGAAGGCTCACAGAAAGATCCAGCTGAAATCCAACCGCTCTGACAGGTCTCCTAGGGTTATTTAGGCCGTAGAAGACGATGGTAGAAGTATGAGGACAATCAGATAAGGATTGGGCGAGATATGGTGCAGATAAGACCAAAAAAGCGTCCAAAATGGGGGTAACTTGCAACAAGGAGTTGTTGTTGGAGATCAAGATGAGATCAGAGTAATCTGAGGTGATGGATGAGATAATAAGAGTCCCAGAAGACGATGGTTATGATGGATAAGCAGTAGGACGCTTGGATGGTGAGATATGAGGTCAGGAAGATGGCTAGAGCACAGGGCTCATAACCTATTAAAAACAAAGCTTGAAGGAAGTGTCTAGCCACTTGCTGAGAGCAATCAGGGACTGGAACTAGAGTCCAATGTGAGTAACTAGAGAATAGGAAGCATTGGACTCTGCAGTACTGTCCGAAGTTTTGTAAACAAAGGTAAAAAAAGCAGCCACAAAGTCGAAATAATAGAGAACACAATCAATAGTGAATGATAGAAGAATAGATAGAGAAAGGAATGAAAATATATAGGTAGCACAAAGGTGCAGAATCACCAAAACTAACATAGTTTGTATTTGATCTCCACCACTATTCATTATTTAGGACTCACACTGTTCCCCAACTCCATTTACAGCTAAATTCATAATGATAGACCAATATTTTGAAAAATTACATGCATAGGAGTTTGACTGACTTTCCACTGAGTTGATTTGAGTTGGAATATTAGACTCAATCTTAAAAAAGGCTAAACTGATGTGGTTAGACTCTGACAGAGTCATATGCTGGTGGCCAGCACTGTAAAATTATTCACACTCTGTTTTTTCTTCCTGTATGTGTGTTCTCACATGGTGGTTTATCAATATCCATTTAGCTGTACTGTTGTTAACTGTCAGTTTGGATGAGAGGCTATTCAGATGTCACAGAGGTCACACAAGCCAAGCTGGAGCTCCGCTTGGCACTATCAGTGGTTGAACATGATTTTGAGTGTGGTGCACCTGAACTTTTTGAAATTGAGGTTGCAGTATCTTAGTAGAGTGTTACTTTCTTGAAAGTCACGCACATAGAAGGAGCTCACTCAATAATTCAGGATTTTGTGCTAGGAAAGATAGAGTAAGTGGTAAAAATACATGGGTTAAGTTGTTGAGAGGTAAAATGACAGTGGTTTTCAGAAATGTCCAAACAGCCCCCCTCCATCTGAACTGATGGTAAAAGACAGTATGGAGGAAGCTGTCACGTTAATTTGGACACCTGTCTACATTCTGATGTGCATACAGTTTGCCAGAAAAACAAAATAATGCCAATTAGTAAATAAATAAAGCAAAATAACAATATTAAGGTTCTGCCACCTTCCCCAACTTCGAACTTCAAGTTTGCACTGGTGCAACTTGCATTTCAACTATACCAACAATATTCCCATATGCCACTTCCAGTGCTTGTATACTATTACTACTGCCTGCTTTCAGCTAAGTCATTAGTTTTTTGACCAGCATTATATATAAAGAGCTCATATATGACAAACTGTTACTGTGACAAATATGCAACTTGACCAAAAATACATTTATTTCACCATCACTTTAAACTGTAATCTGTCCTGGTCTTAATATACTGTATGGACAACAATGCAGTAGTGTTGCACACAAAGATTCTGGTTATAAAATGTTTCCTGAAGACAGATCGCCCACTAAGAAGACCTAGGCCTTGGTTGGGAGATGTTAGACTATACTTCATAATAATGGTGTGAATCTTTGTACCAGCCTAAGGGAAATGGGTGTTTTTTGGTAACATCATATCATCTTCTATCAGTATCAATACACAAACCTGTATATGCTCTTGAAAATGAAGCCGGCACAACAGTTTTCATGCACAGAGTTTTAGCATTGCCTTAACACTGTGGGAAGTAAGGTCACTGAAAGCCAGCTAGTTCATCACTGACTGATCTAAGCCCAGTGACCGCATCACTAAAACCACCATCACTAATATTCAGTGTTAACACTGATCACTGATGTTCATTGTATATTACAATAAGTCAATGATGTACAAAGTGCTAAAGTCAATTAATCATTCTGATCAATCACTGAATTTTTATCAAAGAGTTTTGAGGCAATCTATTGCATAAAGTTATCATTGGAACCTGGTCCGGAGTCATAAAACTCAGATTCCACTCCCTCTGTGTCCTGGTGTGTGAAAGCGACAGAAGCAAGACCACTTGTTCGGTCTATAATTCCCCATCTTCCTCTTGTCTTCACTCGTCCGACAACAGCTTTGATGTTACAAATGTCCGTGGCAATGGCAGCTGCTACTCCACCATACACAGCAACTTCTAAAGCTGCATCTTTACCCTCAGTTTTACATGGTGTGATGACTGCCAATAGAAGTCCACAACCAGATAGATCCTTCCAAAAATCATCATTTCCAAGCTGGCAGACAAGTATTTGTTCGAGATGGCCATAATGAGTGGCAGTGACAGTGGTATTCCTGTGTTCTTGTACAGTGTAAGAGATCTCATACTTGACGCAAATGTAGTCAGTTTGGTTGAAATAAAATAAAATAACCATGTCGCGTACCCGCACAAAAGAATTATCACGTTGTGATAATGTGTTGCTCTTTTTCATTGCAAAAGCACTTTGAACAACATCACCACCAGCAGCAATGCGTAGTTTTCCCCAAAGGGGCATTACTCCAGGTAAGCAAAGCAATATCTGATCAATTTGACCACCAATGAGTGTGCAGATGTATATGCTGATCCTGCGTCTAGTATCACTATTGGGCTTATATTCCATACGGTAAGGGCTACACATGATATGGTTTGGATCTTGAACAGCAAATTTGGCATTGGAATACCAGGTAAACATAGATATAACACTTACAATCTGGATATATTTTCTCATTTTGCTTCAGTATACTATAGTTGCGCTGACTAGAGTGGAAATCCTTCAGTTCATCATCTAGATTATATTTTAGCTTCAGTTGACTTAGATACACTGCATGCAGAACTCGTTTATTGAGGTTACTCCAAGGGAAACGGCGTGAGTGTAAACCAGCTTGTAGGTAGCCACAGTACCGCTCCATATAGAATGTCCAACTTGTCCAGACAGGGCTGCAGAAACGAATGCCTGCTGCAATGTGCAACAGACTATGGATGGGGAGTGTACAGACAGGTAATTGGTTCTCTTCATATTGGTAGTAGTACCTATGTACCGTCAGTCTATGCATATATAATTGGGTGGTCAACTGACTTTTTGTAATGCTCTACCCACTCAATAAGTCCCACTTCCAGCAGATCAACCTCTTTTTCACTAATCTCAAACCGCACCATCAACTTCATGAGGTCGGATAATGTGCGTGTAATACTTCTCTTTCTGGAAATGGCCCTTCAGTAGGATTGGAGCCATGTACATATACCAGAACCCCCAAGGTTCAGCTGTAAATGTTGAATGATCCTCTGCTATATTTCCAAGGACTCGGTCAAAGGATGCTGGGATGTCCTCAATGGCATTGGCTATCTCTTCACCTATTTGGTCCCATATTTGAGGTGGGATCTCATAGTCTTCACATCCAGTGTCAAGGCCTTTGAAATGGCCTGACCACATACATGTTCACTAGAGTTGGCACCACGTTCTCGAGAAACAGATGCATCCACTCCCAAGGGAATGTGTTAGCATAGTCAAGAGAGCTGACACGTTGCAATGCAGGATGGCCACAAATACCAGATTGCTTGGAAATACCTTCTCTTTGTGCCTTGGAAAGTGCTGCATCTAACATTTTGAAGGTAGCTAGGAATTCATTGTGTGTGTGTGCAAGGGAAGATTTTGGGGATTCACAGAATAAGGAGTTTGGTGTTCAACATCTGGAGTGCCAAGTGCACTATAATAGACTGTACCCTTCCCAGTAATATTACGAACACCCTGGATGTTGCATGAGTGACATGGAAAAACAGCATTATGTCCTTTGATATTGAGCAATTTTTCAATGGCAATAATGTCTCCGTTCTCAAAAATAATGTCAGCATGGAGGTCAAAATATCCCTTTGTGAGCGCATTGAAGGTTCCTACACCATCTGCCAACAAGGCTAGTTCATCGTCCAGAGGTGTGAGGAATGTATCAAGTTCCTTAGATTAATGAGGGCCAGGTATAACACCAACACAAATAAGGTTGTCTAGATGTGTATGTTTTTGGCAATGTATGTTGAGGTTCTGAAAGAGAACTGGGGTTGCAGATGGCCCACCATGATGGCGCTTGATTAACAAGTAGCTGTTAACCGACAGTGCCAATAAAATGTCATATTTGCCATCAGAATATTTGTGCGGTCATTCCACACCATCAATAACTACATTCTGCTGTTGCAATGTTTGATACCATGCACAATCAAAGACATTGCAGATTTTACCAGGTTTGTGCTGGTATTGATACCTATATGAATGTGTTTGCACCGAGTCCTCATGTTGAAAGATGGCTTGGAGGCGGGGAATTAATGGGATGTATAAGAAGATACGACGGGGTTTCTGTGAAGCAGTATACCGCGGTTCAAGGCAGCGTGGGCAGTCTGTGTTATAAACATACTTCTTTGTGTAGGCAATACAGGAGTTAATACAGCAGTGAATATCCAGAGGTTGAACGCCTGAAAGCAGGGCAATGCGGTGAAGAATAATCCAGTCAGAATTGATAGACATCTTGTGGTGAAAAGAGTATCACATTTGATCAAAAACTTATTGTGGCATATTAGACATCATCTTGAGTTTGAAGGCTCGAGCATTATCTCGATCTTCCTCAGTAGTGATTTTATTTCCTATGAGCTATCAGCTATTTTATAGATGAGACAGAGAGGATCTACTTGCGAATATTGTATAGCTCCTCATCAATCTCAGGACCAAGCCATGAGCGTAACTGGTTTTCCATTTCCTCAAGTGTAAGATGCAGGTTCATATTGTTGTCATCTTCATTAAACTTGAGATCATTTAATACATTGTAGTTCTCCTCCAATATGTCCCCTTCTCCTGTGGTTTCTTTCAGCCCATCACCTCCTTCTGCACCATCTTCAAGTTCATTCTCTTCTTCTACAGTATCCTTCAGCTTGTATAATGATGTCGACAGCTTCATATCGGAACCGAGACTTGAACTGTTGCTACCATCATCTGATTCCAATGCTTCCATAGGGTCTGCTTTGGTATAGTGTTGGTCCCTGACTCCTTTGGTAAGCCATCTGTAACAACTTGGGCTGCAGCAACAGCGCTTCATTTTAGTGGTGTTGCTGCCAGTGTCTATGGGTTGACCCGTCAAGGATGCTTGAAAGGGCCTGAGTTTGATTTGCTGAAACAAGGCTCATATAGGCAACCTCAGTGCTTGGGTTCAAACACATCTCTTGTCCGTCAACCTCTTATCTTTCAACCTCCAGATGTTAGACCTATATCTCAGATTAACGAGTATTCTAACAGTGGTTACAAGGCAGAATCAGAGGACTGTTATAGTCAACAACATGCATTTTCACTGCAAGACCCTACGCTATCTCAGCTTTGCAATCAGCATTGCCGTTTGCTGCAAAGCTCTACTTCACTTTTTGAAGCAAGGAAAACTTATACTTGGTTATGGAGTACCTTAATAGTGGTGACTGTGCCGCACTCATAAAGACACTGGGCTTTTTACCCGAGGAATGGACGAAGAATTACATTGCCGAAGTAGTACACGGTCTCAAGTATCTACATCAATGTGGTGTTGTTCACCGGTATATTCATTTACTGATGCCAGATTAATTTTCACTTACATTCTGTCTATACAGTGACCTCAAACCTGACTTCTTGGTCGTCAAACCCTTGAGGGTCAGTGTAGAGGAGTTACTGTCCAACTTCCTACCTTGATGCAATACCCAGATGAGCAATGGTATTCCTGGCGGTCGAGCAATCATGAATTGCGCAGAAGTCTAAAACCATGGGAATATCCACGTGGTAGGTAATCTCAGTCGCCTCCTTCCAAGTGATGTTGATTGTAACCTCACATCTTGCAGTATTCAATGGCGCCAAAGAGCAAGAAAATCACCAACAAGACGAGCAAAATCAACACTGTGGCATCCCACATCAGTGAGCTCAAATATAAAATCCACCAGCTCCAGCATAAGTACAATTTCCTCTGTTTTGATTGCTGATATCAAAATCAACTGGCATAGGTAAAGAAAATCATGGAAAGCAAGGAAGCCACAGCAATCCTCAACAAGGCAAGTATATTTGCAAACCAAAAGGTTCACCAGGAAGATCCTTTCCAAAAGGATACAACATTCAAGAAGCTATGAAATTAGGCCAGAAAAAAAGGCAGTATAACACATTTTCAGTGGGTTGTCTCAGCATATATGCATACATCTAAACATTTTTTCTAGGCTGTTGCACGTCAGCTGTCATGGAAGTACCTTGACATTACAGCAACCTTGCAGAATCAAGATCAATTTGTCCTCAACATGGTTCTTTCGCTGGTATGTGTTGCAAATGCATTCAGATATTGGCTAACTAAGCCATATTAGGCTCAAGAAAAATACAAATATCTACAGAGGTTTCCCAGTAACTGGCTTATGCATGACCTGAATGGGAGATTCTTATGCAACCATGTCCAATATTTGAAAAAACAAGAGATTGAGACCACTGCTAGTGACAACGGTGATGAGGTAAAATTTTGCTTTTATCATTTATTTTAATGGAATACTCAATTGCTTGTGGTATCCTTATAGTTTAATGGCTATGATCTTGATGGACTGGCTGAAGTCCTTAATAGAAATGAGGACGGAAACAGTATGGATGAAGATGAGCCCCAGGATGAAGAGATTACTAGAAAGGAAAGATCTCTGGTAAGTAGTGCGCTAGCATACAATAGTGGCAGGTCAGCTGATGCCTGTCTGCAGGTTCCTGCAGGCAGCCAAAAACCTATGGCATATAAGGTAAAGCTGTCTAATGTTTTAGCCTTACACCTGATTCAGCAGCCATCCCACAGGAACCAGCCACAATAGTCCAGAAATCCAAACAGAAAACTCATACTATTGGTGAGAAGCGTAAGGCTGAGAAAATAGATAATGAACCTCCGAGTCCTGTTATTGGCAGATGGAAGTGTCACCATGTGATAGTAAGTTCATTTCTAGGCCTGTGTTCCATAACAGAACTGACTACCACTATATATCTCTAACCAGGAATCAGATAACGAGGATGAAGACTTGGGTATCAATAATCTTGCCTCTCAGTCCTCGGTCAGAGTTCCTGATGACTTAACAGCCACTACAGTGTCAAAAAAAAAAGTCAAAGACTCGGATGATGCTGTTCAAGTCAGTAATGGTGTTTCAGATGTATCTGAAATACCCATAGTCTGTCCACTAGATGGATGCAAGTATATTGTACCCGCTAACCCACCTCAGGAACTGGTCAACAAATTTAGCAAGTATGGAGAGCTGAAATGTACTAGAAAGTCTAATACTACTGGGTTTCTACAACTCAAACTAGAGCTTTGTGGGGATATCAAGCGTGCACAAGACCAGCAATATCACATTTGTCTGTGCACATATCAAAACTGGCCGCTGGTAGTTGACTGGCATGCTTTTTGTTGTCAAATCATTGCTATGAGGGATGAACTCGAACAGGTCACTCTTAGCCAAAAAAAACAGGTAGGGAATGTTGTTTACAAGTACCTCTTGGATAACCTTGAGGCTGTAGGCCTTGGATGTGATTTTAAGAAGCTTGCATCTGTGCCTACACTTCAGGTGTGTATGAATTCACGGTCTGACTAGTAAGTAATATAAATATATATTTCCGCACTGACATCCTGCCAGCATATTGACAACTATTTCTAACACAATTATGGTGCCAAAGGCAGCTCAATAATTGAATCAGTTCTAGTGCGGATCATAGACCTCAAAACTACTCTAATTCACAGCTTTCAGCCACTCAGTCTCTCACTGTTCACCCACTACTTTCTTGTTCCCTTTGTTGCTTGTACAGGCCAAAACATTCATCCATATGAAGGAGAGAATGATAAGCAACTAGACAAAATCTCCAGGGCCGAGTTTGACATAATGATGAAAGAACATACTGAGATTATTAGCATGCGCCGGAAGGAGCTCGAGGACATTGCTGAGGACTGTTTTTTGGAAGAGGCCACAAAGGAAAAGGTGGGTAAAAGTTTGCATTATGTCTTAAAATGAAAGACTGACGCACTGGGTCATACTATGGAGACTCGGACCACACCACAAGGCTCGGACACAGCAAAGCTGTCAAAGGTCAAACCCAAGGTGAACATAGGTTATCCATACCTGCCCTGTATACTATTTACTTATGCTTCTTGAGGCTCGGATGGTTAAAAAAGCAGAGGTTACTCTAGTGCATCACATATTGTACAGATTGTCATCTGGCTTCATATCTCATACAAAGGAGCCTGACATCGAGGTTACAACAAGTACTAGGCCACACAGAAGTTCAACAGCAAAAATAGTTTGTGCCTGTGTTGCTTATTGTCTAAATCTATAATTTATATACTAACCCAAACCCAAACATGTGGTACGCACAACTAGAAAGCAGAGCCACTCACAAAGAAACCAAAAGTAAGTCTGAATTCATCTCCGAGTCCATGACACAACTCACAAGACTGCAAGTTCGCATCAAAAGCCAAAACCACAAAAAAGAAAAGCAATATCCCAGGCCCTCCTATCGCTGATCCCTCAAAATTCTCTGGTGCATTGGCGGTGAGTCCCACACATATGTGTACTATCTTATGTAAAAACACCTCACGACACTCAGCTTAAATTGGCTGACGACATAATTCCACCCAAATTGCGACTACACAAGAAAATTTGAAAGACCTTCTCACTCAGACTTGCCTTTATTTTTTTGTTGTCGCATTCTTCTCAACTAGCCTGTTAATATTCCAAATTCCTACTCTTTGCTCTTTGTCCATCAATGTGGTCCCAGGTCTCATTTTTGCTTATCAAGTTCATATTGCTATATTCATGTTGTGCTTGCTTGTGACTACATTATGTACCACACTGCTTATTTTGATACTAGTTGCTAATAAAACAGTGTATTTGGCAAGTGATTGTGATACTACTAATCAGTGAGATTCTTCAAAAGTAGTCGGTGTATAGTGCACTGAAAGTCAAAATATAATGCACTAATGCTCAGATGGGGAATAGTCGGTTTCATTGATTTATATCACTGAGATTTTCATTGGCAATTCGCTCATTTACAGTGCATCTGCCTCCTAAAATACAGTGATTTTGATCACTATATTACAGTGACAGTACTACCCACAGTGTTAAGATTTGTTTGTGTTTACCCCAGAGTCGGGGATTGGCGCTAGGCGCCGCTACGATTAGCTGTAACGCTGGTGTTGAACAAACCCGTTGTCTGAGTTTAAGTAAAGTGACTGACACGTCGCGTCACACTGTGGACTTATATAAGCCCAGCTTATATGCTGAAAATATTCAATTTTAGCAGCCAATCAGAATGCAGATATCCAATATCTTCAGCATATAAGCTGAGCTCATATAAGTCGATCCCCACAGTGTCAGCCACTTTACCTAGACTCGGGATAGCCAGGTGGCAGAACCATTCCAAAAGGTGTGTCGTCGTTTCGGTTTCGTTCCGCTGCCCTAACGCCTCAAATTCTTGCTTATTCTTCTACATAGACAGCTAGAAAACTAAAAATTCTATCTACTGGTCAAGTTCCGACGGTCTCAAGCTCAACGACTGGTGAGTCATTCAACTTCTCCCCAGACCAATTGCACCTATTGTCCAACGATAGTATGTGGGGATTTTCGGGACATTGCGACGTTGCATAATCCGAATTTTTTTTGCAGTTCCAGAACTGTTTAGAGCAAGAGTAGCATTGACCCTGGTTTTGCCTCGCGTTTTCTTTGACCACGTTCATTTTTACCCTTTTCACTCTCAGTTGAAGGATACATAGCGAAGTTCGTTTTTTCACTGTTAATTCAGGGTGCGTGCCAACATTTGACTTTTCTCTCTTTCATTATTGGCTGACTTATTTTTCCTTGTTCGTACTAACAACCGCCTCGACACTGCTCTCGTATTTACGGCTGCCCCACTCCTTCTCCTGTCTTGCCTTTCATTCTTGTCTGTCGTCCGCGTCTCCATTTTACGAATCCAGCCCTTCTAGGTCTTCACCTCTTCGCTGATCCCGCTTTTACAGAAAAAACGGAAGCAATGATCGTCGCCAAACATCGCCTCACATTCTTTTTCTCTTTTGCACTCTTTCTCGCATTCACCGTCGTTGCAGATGCCAAAACACTCGACCAATCCGCACCATTGCGTCGCGATCATACTAGGATCAACCGTATTGTCAAGAAGCGTTCCCCAGTCCCACAAGGTTTAGGCGGGCTCTTTGGGGGTGATGGTAGTGGTGTTGTTAACGCTGGAGCAAACCCCCCTACGGTGACTCCGACGAGCTCAACAGCAACTACTTCAAGCACCATTGCGCCCTCGACCGATAAATCTACAGACACGGCATCATCTGCAACTCCTAGTAGTCCCTCCGCTTCAACAACCGCTTCCATATCCCTATCGGTATGTCTTTTTCTGATATATTCTTGTCTTATGTGCTGATCATGTTTTACTTTATTTTACAATCAGAGTTCTGCTTCTGCAACTAGTAACAACCCACTGGGAGGCTTTGTCAGTTCACTATTCTCGCCTGCTAGTAGCACTGCTTCTGCTAGCACAAATTCCCCATCGTCAGCCTCTTCCAGTCCTACAACCGCTTCCGAGTCTGAAACGTCTACCACACCAACCCCGACACCAACCACGCCGCCAGCTGTGTCTCAATCGGTCAGTAGGGATGGGTCATCGGGTGTTACAGTTGTTGTCACAGGTTCACCTACATCAAGTACCGCTTCGTCTACTTCTACTTCCACATCATCAGGCACAATAGCACATACCACGGAAGTTGCCTTGATCATCATTGGCGCCTGCATTGTCGGTGCTGGCATCATCTGGACCATAATTCGCAAGTGGAAATTCAGACCGTCCGCGAATTTTGAAGACCGCATGCAGCCTATTGACTGGCAACCCACCACAGACAGTGGTTTACCGGCACACCGTCGCAACTCCAACGCCTCGTCCTTCCACTCTGGACACTCCGAGACTAACTATGCTGGACGCGGCGGTGGAGGCAGTTATGGATCTGACCACGGCCATGGTGTCGCACCTCTTAACCCAATTCCCGATCATGACTTCACTGCTGGAACTGGTGGTCTTGCATCTGCTGGCGGATATGCTGACCTTGTACGTGGTCCTAGCCCCCAGCCCCAGATGCAGGAGGCTCTTTCCCATGGCCCAAGCATGGCTAGACCTGAGTACGACCAATATGGTGTCCCCCTTCATCATGCCGGTTATAGTTCCCAGGATCCTTATGCGAGATATTAGAAACAAATGCTGAGCGCTGAGGGCAGTGGAACTATTGAGTTTGAAGTCTTGGTTGTATCGTGGTAGCGTAAAGTTTCTAAACTATACAGTTTACTCACTTTTTTATTTTGTTTTTATTGGAATAAATACATTTACTTGCCGCTGGACGATGATGCATTTTCCGAGCTTTTTGGCTACTACGTTGTTTCTTCCCCTGCGTGTGATACTAGTTCGATCTCGTTTCCCTTACCCTTGAGGAGCTCAGTGCATTGTCAGTCACTTATCTCCCTTTGTAGATATTGACTACAATTATCTTGTAGACGCACGTCTTGTTGTATTTAAGCTATGACCTGTAATTGTGTCGAGGATGATTGGATGAACCCGAGGTCAGCTGCCTTTATTGTATGCGTGCATAGGTTAGACAGCAATTACTACAAGTGGGTCAACTCTGTAAATAGGTCTGAACGAGGTCTTTACTACTACAAGATTTGATAGCAATACCAACGATAGATAGGCACTAGCAGGGGAAGTAAACCTGCCCACCACCAAACGCGCGCATGCGACACGATCCACTTCCGCGGCGCGAGGGATAAGCCGTCAGTTTTCTGAAACGGTATTTCGTCGACTAATTTGGTATTTGCAAACAGAGTTTCGAGGCCTGTAGGATGTTCTGGAGGGAAAAATTGTTGGGGGCGCAACCACGATCCGTCGTCCTCGTCTTGAATGACTATTTTCTTTGGCTTCATAGGTAGAGAGAAAGATGGGTTGATAGAAGTCCAGTCCATTGCGTCTGCATCAGCCTCTTCACCGTCGTCATCCATCTTTTGGGGCGAATTTATAGGCTTGGTAGAAGAAGATAGAAGAGATGGCAGACCAAATATTGGGTTAATACTTGGCGAGAGCACTGGTTTGGAAGAAAGAGACAGGGAAGAGAAGAGATCAGGCCCACTTAAAGCAGCAGCGGCAGAAGTGTGTAGGGAGCGAGAGTGAGCGTCTCGGAAAATAGATTCCGGGGTGGCACGGGCAAAAGAGGGCTGATGGCTGGAAATATCAAGTAGTCTGATGGGAGGTGGCTTCTGGATATGCAATACGGCGAAGGAGGCGAAAAATACCTGGTCGATGTTATGGGGTAAGCACTGAAACAACATGTCAAACCATCACGTACAGATAACTCAAATATTAATGATATCGAACAGTACAGTTGAAGTCTGGATGATGGATAGCTTGTGATATGCAAATAGTCCCAAGACGGGTAATACCATGGGATAGTGAGAAGCAGAGCTGTGATGGACCTAGAGAGCCATGCTAGTATTTGCAGCACCTAATAGGAACACGTTACAATGAATTTTCTACGGGATCTTCACTGTACGGCTCACATTGTACTGTTTCTTTCCTTTCACACGTAGATCACGGCCTTGAATATATGCTTTCCGAAGTGAATGATAAGTCGGATCCCACACAGTCCATAGTAGAGAGAACAAAGTCAAAACCAGAAGGGCAGGTTGCAGCATTTGCACAAAAGCTGACATTTGCCAGTTCCATATACCTAACCATCAAAGAGCGGTAAGAGTCGCACGAGATCTAACTAAAGTGGATAGGACGGACCAGCAGAGTAAGAAACCCAAGTAGACATCAGCGTTATAGCCCACAGACAGCCCCGTATTTTCCATGCCATAAATTCTATCTTCAGTTTTTCTCTTTCCTCGCCAGTTTCATATACCTGTCTCCGTTTATCTTTGCCTTTAGTTTCCTTCAGCCACCCACCTAGAGCCTGAATCCGGGCCATGTGATCCTTCTGCTTAATCTCGTCTTCAACTATAGGAAGGCAATTGGTGCAAACAGGTGGATAGCGGGCATGTAGCGAATTCCTATATTCTGGAAGCAACTCTACTCGTTTCGCGTATTCTGGGTGCTGCGAAGGTGACCCAAAAATTTACGGGAGAGAAACCTGTTGAATGAGAAAAAGATGCAAAATAAGATAAACGCACTTCGGGTGGAGGAAGATAGTTTGACATGAGTTGTACGACGAGCGTCTGGTTGGTTCGACACGTGTGGCAGAATGGCCCTCTGTTGTATATGGAAGGTAGGCGGTCCTTGCTGGGAGAGGCTGTTCATACGTTGTGAGTCAATTGCAGGCAGGTAAAATATATTAGAACAGTTACCTCGCCTGGAAAAGGACCTTTTATTTAGGTTCTCGTCGTGCATTGCAGGCTCATCTGACATGATCTGACCACTCGCATCGTAACGATTCCAGCAGTTGCAGTGCGGACACCGGAAGTTCTTCAGATTTGTAGGCAAAGGGTTCACTGAACTTTGGCAGAAGAAGCAGTTGACGCAACTAAGCCTACAAAAGAGAGCAGGCATGTTCAAAGTCCAGGTGGAAACACGGGCAGAGAGAAACTAGACGATGTTTTTCATGGACACAAACAAGGAAAAATCGGCACCTATTACTCCCACACTCTGGCCTTATCATAGCGGCGCTTTGCACCAGCATAGCGCCGCATAATAAAGCCCTAAAGCCATAACCTTGTCTTATGTAAGCACGCAGAGGATGTGAACTATACCAACACAAACAGTTTGTGGAAACTATATATGAGCCTCTCATATAGTTCCAGGAAACCATACCAAGGTAAGTTAGTTTGTAGAAACTATATTATACTTTTCATACAATCATGCATTAATCATGAATCATTGTGAAAAATATCTCCAAAATGTTGCTGAAAGTACTGGTGGATATCCCCCTTCAAGGGGAATCGAACTGTTACAATACACAATTTTCGGACCTTTGAATTTCATTCTCCACTGTAACTTTCTTTCGTAGTTTTCACACACTGTGCTATGTGGCACTTTCCATTTTGTTCAATCTCCACTTTCTCGCGCTATGCTGCTTTTCTTCATTCTTAGCTACAAGTCTCTCACACAGTGGAGCTGACCACACGGGCTGTGCCCTATAACATCATCAGCCACTGCCTTCATCAACTATATAGTACACATGTATAAATAGTCTGTAGATGTATATAAACCCCAATAGACCAAGGAGACTCCTCAGCGAGTCCTCCTGTTGTTTACCCACAACTAACTTGGTCCTATCATAAGGGGTAACCACTCCCACTCACTTCAACTGTAGCTTGTCTGAGTTGTGTGCCAGAGTATACAAACTCTTGGTTGTTACATTAGGACTTGCTCTTGTTACTCTCTCACACTTTTGTGCAAACCCGGACCACAGGGTTAAGTGGAGTCTTTCGAACAGTAAGACTTTGGTGCCAGACGGTGTTGAGCATTTGCTAGCGGCGGAAACAAAGTGTGTGCCCCAATCCTGCAGGCGAGCTCCCCAGGACAAGGTATTAGAGAGAATCAAACTAAACCATACACGGCCCCAGTGTTAAGGGGAGTACTTGAGCAGTTGGTGTGGAACCACTGTTGATTAGATTTAGATACAAAAATTTCTTCTTTGCTTTCCTCTGACCAGGCCGGGCACTTGCCTGAGCCAGTCTGGAGAAGGGTTGACAGCTTTACAAGCGGACCACCCCCTGACAACTGTTCGTACCAGGGTTTCTTACATTTACATTTTATATACTTTTAAATACTATAGTATGGGTAGTCAGGGATTGAGACCTGTTACTCAGCTGGGAAGAGGTAAGTCTGCAGATAGCAAGCTGGGATCCCCACTTATGTTTTTTTTTACATTTACATAGAGAACAAGTCGATATGTCGTCGCAACCACAACCCGATGTCAACACTCTGTTGCACAACATGCATGCACAGATTTTGTTATTAATCACACAGCTTAGTGAGCTTCAGACAAACCCCCCTGAAGCAGTTGAGCAAAAATTCAACAAGAAAGTCGAGATCGTTGCTGACCGGGCTTGGTTTGCCAAATGGTGGATCAAGCTCCAGATTTGGATCAAGGTGAACTGGGACACATTCACCGATGACTTTGAGATAGCAACAGCTATGCTATCAATACTAAAAGGACCTGTGGTGAGTCGATATGCCCAAGTACAACTCCAGGAGCGCTACACTGCTAATCACTGGCTTACCTGGGACAATCTTAAGGGGGTAGGTCGAAAAATATTTCAAACCCCAAGCTGAGCATGACTGGGCGCGCTAGCAAATCTGTTCCTTCAAACAGGGAAACATGAGGACAGATGATTTTGTAACCCAGCTCCTGGCCCTCTCCATCCAAGGGGGTCTAGGTAATGGACACACAGTAGAGCTGCTAGAACACAATGTGAACTCCCACATTACAGAACAGCTTTATCTGCAGGATATGAGAAACAAGAACCTCTCACAAGCCGCAGAAGAGGTCCGCAAGATTGGTAGGGCTGTGGAGCTCTACACTATGTAATTTGGTGGTGGGTCCACCACTAAAAACAACTATTCCCAGAGGTGCCCTGGGTCATCAAACCAAGATAACAATCATTCTCACGGGTTCAAGCTATTCAGGCTGCAACCAGGGCAGGGAGCCCCTATGGATATTGGTGCAGTCCAAGGCGGACAGATGCGTAGATTCAAAGGGAACTGCTACAATTGCGGCCATGAGGGACACATGTCCCGAGACTGTAGAAACAGGGTGCAGGCTGCCCAATAAAAAAATAATCAAGGGCGCCAGGCGCGCCAATTAGAAACAGAAAAGCCAGATAATCAGCTCAGAAATACTCAGGCCAGTTGTTTGTACAACGTAATTTGAGCCTTCTTTTACAACCAACAGGCTGCTGAAATGAAAGCTCAGGGAAAAGACTTCAGAGCTTAGGTTTCTTGGGTGCCTTCACTCCTCTTAACAATGAAGTAAACCACGACAAGGTGGCCTCTGCTCTGGGGTGTTGCACAAGCAATAAAGGAAAGGGGGTGGCTCCCCAATTTGTAAATAAATTTCTAAATTTGTTATCTGAAGTGTATACTTGTATAAAATATTTATGACACTACCACTGCACCAGCATCCCCCTTGGAGCGTGGCCCCAGCAAGACAACTACTAGGGTGCTTAATTCTGGTAAAAATAAAAGAATTATAGAGAATCGTAAAATAGAAAAACAAGTTTCTCTTAACATTCAAGTTTCTTCTTCATTGGAGCTACTTCTCACAGAAATCCCAAGGTGTGTGTTGATGTGCACATATTTACTCCAAAAGGAGATCTGTTTAGACATTGGTGTAGAAAACCTTGCCCGGGGCATAGTACACCCAACCAGTGCACTGCTTGATTCAGGTGCTAATGGCATCTTCATAAATCAGGTCTGGGCGGAGCAAATTGGACTCCCCCTTGTAAAATTAGATATATCTATTCCTGTCTATAATGTTGACAGTACACTTAATGCTGGTGGCTACATTACGCACAAATGTTCTTTTGTTGTTGAGTACCAAGGACACAGAGAATAAGTCACTGCCGAAGCTACCCAACTAGGGAATATTAATTTAATCATAGGCTGGACCTGGCTATTTAAACACAATCCTAAGATCGACTGGCAGACAAGGGTTGTCACATTATCACATTGCCCTCAGGAGTGTGATAACTTGGGTAAGCCGAGTCATGCCCATCAAACTGAGCTTAATGACAGGATAAACACTGGTCACGTTTATGCCAAGCTCAGATCTTTAGATAAGATTGACAATGACAATGACAAGGTAAAACCTGAGGAAGAGATTAAGAGGCTGGTACCTCTAGAGTACCATGACTTCTGGAAAGTCTTTTCAAAACATAAATCAGAGCACTTCCCAGAGGCTAAGCCTTGGGACCATGCTATAGATTTGAAGGACACATTTAAACCTAGAAAAGGACACATGATTCCCTTCTCTGCTCCAGAAAGAGATGAGGTTTCAAGTTTCATAGATGAACAGCTCAGGAAGGGTTACATCAGACCTTCCAAATGCCCTATGATGTCCCTGGTATTCTTCATTCCTAAAAAGGATGGTAAGATGCATATTATTATGGACTATTGTTACTTGAATGAGTACACAGTCAAAAATGCGTATCCGCTGCCTTTGATCAGTCAGCTAGTAGACAAATTGGCTGGCACCAAGATCTTGACAAAGATGGATCTCAGATGGGGGTACAATAATGTATGCATCAAAGAAGAAGATGCTTGGAAGGCTGTATTTATGTGCCACCGAGGATCCTTCAAGCCCCTTGTCATGTTGTTTGGGTTGACCAATTCATTGGCAACCTTCCAAAGCATGATGAACGAGATATGGAAAACTGTGTCATCATTTACATTGATGATTTACTCTGTTGTTACATATCTGTCCAAGCTAATAAGGTTTGAGCCTCATGCACTATAGCTCTCTACCACCACTTCCAGTGGTGGCTGAGAGCCAATTTCCTATTTAGTTATCAGACATTTAACTACTATAGAAATTGTTGATTCACACTTTCTGGATACCTCAGTCCTCGTACAAGAGACTGAGTATCACTTTGTTACAGATACAAAAACCACATATTCATATTTACAAAGTCAGACGATGAGGCTGAGCATGACAAGATTGTGCAACCGTTGAGCAATCTCACTAAAAAGGACATTGTCTGGCACTGAAGTGCCAAAAAACAAGGAGCTTTTGATAAGCTTAAACAGGCATTTACAACAGTGCCCATATTAGCATTTCCCAAATTAGACAAAGAGTCCCGGCTTAGAAACCGACTCTTTTGATTTTGCTACTGGGGCTGTTTTGTTAATCAAATGCCCTGACAATCTTTGGAGGCCTTGTGCCTATTTATTACATAGTTTGTTGCCCACAGAGCACAACTATCAAATTTACGACAAGGAGATGCTGGCCATCATTAGAGCTCTAGAGCACTGGCAGCACTACTTAGAAGGTGCTAGGCACCAATTTGGAATTTGGACCAATCATAAAAATCTGGAGTATTTTATGACGGCCCAAGAATTGAACCAAAGACAGGCCCACTATGTGGTATACCTATCAAGGTTTAATTATAAATTAATTCATAAGTCTGGTACTTCTATGGGAAAAGCGGATACTTTATCTAGAAGAGGGACCAATGTGTGGAGATACTGAGGGGGAAGTAGTGAGTGAAACAGATGCAATAAAGGAGGGAAATAAAGCCGGGCATAACTTCCACATCCCCTTCTTAGTGTCATCACACAGTTTGGTGGAGGAGAAAATGAGGGAGGGCCAGTTGATCCCTCCATGATTAGCTGGGAAGATGATATAGTGGAAGCATTTGTCTGGTTTGATCCCAGGAGACAGACTCCTGAGAGGAAGGAGGCCCTTGATAATAGGTGGTGGTTGCAAAGTAAATTTGTATCTTTTTATTCTTTTTCAATTACTTACTAACTTTTTCTGTTCACAGTGGTTCCATCTCATCTGTTTACCACCCATACACCCCTGGGAGGTAAGCTCCCCATTGTCATTACTCCTCAAAGTGATGGCCAGGACCTCATAGACTTCAGTTTTATGTCCCTGGTTCCCAGCCATGTACAATGGTTGTCACCGGCCCAGCAGTGGGGTCCTCCTCCTTTCTTAGAAGAAATGGTAGCAAGGATGGAGCAAAGACAGGGGATTATTGGGTATCTTTATGGCAAGCTGGAAGATAAGGTAGTAGAGTTGAAAGTGAAGGAGGGAGAATATAATTAGAGTAGATTAGTGTTGAAGGGACTTGTATTATAAATCTCAAATTTTCTTTCTTTCTTTCAACTAGATTTTATTTGTATATACTTAGTTTCTCCTCACTCACCACTCAGTGTACAATTACTTATTTGATTCATATAAATTTGGGTTACATACATTGCGATCTCAGTGTGATAATATGTGATAAGAATAAGTCTGAGAACTCTACCCAGGGACCCATCAACATGGCCTGCTAACTTCAACTGATCAATAAGCTATCTGTAAGTGATGCCCGGAAACATGGGAACATTGCCCAGGAATGGTCTATAGCCAAGTAATCTATGATCTGCTTGTGAGTGATGCCTGGCAACATGGGTTCTAAGATTATGTAACCCTGGATGATTATAACACACACATCCTGGGGTATGCATTGTGAACATGGGGCCATCATATACATTTATTTTATTACTGTACAAGAGGTACCCTGAGGATTGACCCTGAGGATTGTAACTACCTATTATTTAATGTTAGAATATACTCTGACATACCAATACTCCATAGGATAATACCTCTGATTTGTAAGCCAGCCCAGTATGCAGCAGCTATTCTGTGTAAGACGTCCGTGGTTGCATGTCATGTTTAAGATCCTACATTGTATAACCTTGGCCATATAGCTCAATTGGTAGAGCAGCTGGCATATATCCAGAAGGTTCCAGGTTCAATCCCTGGTCTGGTCAATATCCAATTTTATCATATTCAATTGAGAACTTCTGGGAAGTGTCTAGCCATTTGCTGAGAGCTAACAGGGACAGAACTAGAGTCCAGTATGAGTAACTATATTATCAGAGAGTACAGAATGTGTACAGTACCCAGAGTCCAGTATGAGTAACTAAAGAATAGAAATACTGGACTCTGCAATACTAGTCCGAAGTTTTGTAAACAAAGGTAAAAAAATCAGCCACAAAGGCGAAATTATAGAATACTCAGTGAATACTGAACAATACAGCAAAAAGAATAAAGAGGAAAGTGATTTAGAAAGAAGGGAAAATAGATAGCACAACTAGGTGCAGAATCACCAAAACTAACATTTAACACTTCCTGGGTTTCTTTACCTTTAGCTTCTGATCTACCTTGATTATTAAGAACAAAGCTTGAAGGAAGTGTCTAGCCACTTGCTGAGAGCAATCAGGGACTGGAAACTAGAGTCTAATGTGAGTAACTTTATTATTAGAGAGTATGACAGGTATACAGTACCTAGAGTCCAATGTGAGTAACTAGAGAATAGGAAGCATTGGACTCTGCAGTACTGGCCGAAGTTTTGTAAACAAAGGTAAACAAAGGAGCCACAGAGGCGAAATAATAGAGGACACAATCACTACTGAATGATAGAGGAATAGATAAGGAAAGGAATAGAAATATATGGGTAGCACAAAGGTGCAGAATCACCAAAACTAACATTGATGTTCTTGCCTTGTTGAAGCTGCTTTACTGGACTATTACCTGACCTTGCCTCTGTGCAATGTTCCCAGGTTCATCATCTACCTCCTTATGTCCACACTTGGTGGGACTCTGCATTGCCCTCATCACCATCCTGGGTAGTGTTCTTGCCTTTTCAGGGAAGGTGGATTCCATGTTGTGTATTGCAGTGGTCATGTCCCTGTAGAATGGGAGGATAATGTCACCCACCATGACAAACTCAATGTATGATCATATCAGGTTGTCATCCTTGTCAGCAAATTAGATTGTATGAAGGTCCTGGAGCAACATTCATACCACCAAACATATCAGGGCCATAGCAGTATGGCCCTTGACACCTGTGTGGTTGTCCCAGCACCCCAGGTAATGTAAATAAGACTGCATATGGAGCCACCTCAACATTTTTTGGCTTCCATTACCTTGGTGAATTTACAATGGAATCATGCTGTGGGCATAGCCCCATGAGGCCCATGACAGCCAGTAGTCCAAGTAATCCTCTGGCTGGCCATTACTCTGGGAGCTGGGCTTGTCCTTTGGTAGTTGGTACACTGTGTCCACCAACTTCAGGTATTCCTCCTCAGTACATAATCTGGAAAGGAACCTCCTCTGAGACTTGTGTGTAATAGAAGCATGCCAGGGACTGTCCTTGTCCACTTCTTCTACACCTACAGATTGCTGCCCCGAGATAGAAGGAGCCAGGACAGGGTTGGGCATCAGTTTGGAGGGCCTGGGCCTGATTGTTGATTCCTAGAAGGCTACCGTTTGTCACTTTACAGCTGGTTCTGCATGTCAACACTGCTTTCATCATCACTTAAAATTTTATCAAGCACCTCAATCTCCTCTTGTTCCTTGTCGGTGGATTTGCTACTTGGTGCAACCATTCTCGCTCTGGGAAGGACTCTCTTCATTGCTGCTGTCTCTTTACCCTTTCCTTTATTGGCTACCAGGTGAAGACTAGATTTGAACCTGAAGGTAACTTTGGCATTTATATTGTTCTGCCAGTTGTACCAATGGTCCAACAGACCTCAGACCTCCTCCTTTGTCATATATGATAGTTCCCAGAACTTGTACCCTGGAGGTATGTATCCCTTTGACAAGTCAATATAGTTGTGCAGGCACTTTGCAAGGCTGGTCTAAGGTACTGAAGCCTTCATGTTTCCAGTGGAAATCTGGTAATATGTTGTCAGGAAACACCTGATGGTAGCCTGTAGGTCTGAAAAGGTTACCGGGGGTGACAGATCCTCATCTACAAGGATGGGATATCCATTATTGTTGAGTGGAAGCTTGACCTTTTCTTTATGCTTGTCTGGTAGGCTCTCCTTTGGCACAGATCCATCTATATCAACCACATACATTTATTAATTAAGATAGAAACTTACTAAATTGACTTTGTACATACTTACCCCAAGCCTCCCATATCTTTACATTTTGCCAGTTGGGTTGTACCTTGCTAAAAAGCTCAAACACAGCTTTGTCATTTTGCTCATGACTGCAATTAAAGCAATCAGTTTCAGTAACAACACACCCAGTTTGAGAACTGGGGTCTGTAGACTACTTACAAGGACATAGATGGTTCTATTTGTATATTTATGGGTAGTGAGCACAAAACTCAATGTTCCTAGATCCTAGCTAGCTTGCACCTGAAAGTCCTTCACTACTTTCCTACCCTTCATTTTAGCAGATCTTGAGTCACTATTTTTCTCGGGTGAGTAAAGGACATCATACTCACTTTGGTATCACTTCTTCTGATGGCCTGTCAGTATACCACTCCTTATGCTTCTCTTTGAATTTAGCCAGCTCCTCCTCACTGAGCTCAGTCAACATTACCTTCAGGACACTCTGCAGTTTACCAATATAATCTGACTGCCCTGGCTTTACTCTGTAAAGGTCCCTTATCCTTTTCTCTATCTCCTTCTTCTTGACTATATTGAGCACTTGGGTCAGACCTAAATACTTTCCATGTTCAGCAACCTTGTTCCCAGGCTCTTTGTTACCACTGTGGTTGTACAACCAACACCTGACCCACTGTAATTTTAATTGCAAACATGATGATATACTTTGACAGTTAAAAGTTATCATACCTCTTTTATGTCTGTTAATTCCTTGATGTTGGTTAGTACATGTTCCCCCAAATTTTCCCTGACTTCATTGCAGGTATCATTAAGTACTTGTCCCCATTGTAGAGAATTTGCACCCCATAACTCTTCCAAATGTGTATTGTGTAATCCAATTTGGGCATCATTAAAAGTACTTCAGGCATGATTAAATGTGGTACGAGTTAAAAAGTGAGGTGTGTGTTTGAAGATGAGCGCTTTTTTTCTCTTTTCTGTTCAAGTTCAGTTAATTGAATACCACATTCATCCATTCCAAGCAAATATTTGGCTCTTCAATCAGATCTGAGCAATAATATCATCAACTTAACTCCATACCGGGCCTTCAGCTAAGGCCCGGAATGTGTCAGGTACCTCCCAGCAAACATTTTCCCTAATATATTGCTTCCATATACAGAAATTTAGTGCCAGATTCATCAATTTAATTAGCTCCGTGAGGCCTGGGTGTCATAGAAGCTAACATAAATTAGAAGCATAGGCTCCATATCAATTACTGCCTTCTATCATAAATATCCTGTATGAGCAAACTCAAACTGGCATCTGGTTTAACAACGTCATCTTTTTTCCACAGAATTATTTAGCATGGGCTGCAGCTCCTCTTGGTGTTTGGCTCTAGTATTATAAAGAGTAGATTGGAAGGAGTTCAAAATAAGCAAAGGTGTGAGTACAAAACAAATAAGTATGAAAGACCACATATCCCAATCAACTTTGTCAATACCCCATAAAACTCCTCATAAACATGATTTGTTCCCCATCCAAGACATTGACCATCCTATCCTTGAGCCATTAGTTATACCTCCAAGGAAGGCAAGTCTATTGAGTAAGTACGTCCATCATTACTTGTCTGACATTGGTTTAGTCACAAAACAATTACATGAAACAATAGCTGGACCATTGTTCAGAGTATCTGCAAGTCCTTTTGCAGGAAGAGGGGTGGTTCCCGGGACAAACTTGCAGCCTTTGTTTAGTGAGAGAAGGAACTTGGCAATGCACAGAATGTTTGGGGAAACCAGAGTATTGCATGTTATGCTGCAGGGATGCTCACCAGAGGTTACCATCTCATAGAGTTGAGCAATGGGTGGGCACATATTTCAAGACTTCTTGGATTGATTTATAGAGCTAGCTTGGTAATTCATCTGGGCCACACTGGTAAAACATGCCCACGACACAATGATAACTATATTCTTGCAAAGAACAACTTGCCAGAGGGTGATTCCTGGGGGGACAGTACCTGCGGCAATTTTCCAGGTGCCCCATCAGGCAATGAGAAAGGAGAATTATGGGAAGATGAAGAAATAATCACAATGGGTGACATGCCCAGGACTGGCTCCATTGACATCAATGGCAACACAATAATACTTCTTATAGACAGATCTGGTGTGTATCACTTGTCTGTGAGATGGTGTAGTTTGTTTTGGCAGTGGAAAAACTTGAAATATATGTGTTGGCATGGATTTGCACATCAACACAGCTGTCACCCTTCCCTGGGGTCTCTAGCATTGTTCTGCCCAGCTTGCCCTCAGCAGGGTATCAATGTCTCACTTGATTGGAATCAACACCCCTCAGGCAGTATCAATTGGGGACTTTTGATATGGACGGAAACTTTAATGCAGAGCACATGAAGTCAAAGAACCCCTATGATAATATCCCATTTGCTGTAGACACAGCATTGTTGACAGCAAATTGACCATATATAGAGCACCTCAAAATTTCCAAAGCAAATAAAGTAGGGTTTACTTGTAATAGCCACAGAGTTGTAAGCCTGGCAAACAAGAACTGGCACGGAGTATTTTTCCCAGGTGCCATAGTGGATTTATGGAAAGGTGAACGGTGAGTGGTCCACAAATCTGAGATTGCGGCAATTGCTCACTCTTTATTGTTATTAGAGTATACTCTGACATACCAATGCTCCATAGGATAATACCTCTAATTTGTAAGCCAGCCCAGCATGCAGCAGCTATACTGTATTAGATATCTGCGGTTGCATATGATGTTTCAAGATCATATATTGTATAACCTTGGCCATATAGTTCAACTGGTAGAGCAGCTGGCATGTATCCAGAAGGTTGCAGGTTCAATCCATGGTCAATATCCAATTTTATCATTCATAGCCAAACGAACATAGACTATTTACTACGTCAGGCCGGGATTAACTCGGTCATAGTCCTCTACAATATAATGTGCCAATACAATAAACACTTCTTGAAGAGGATCCTTGAAAGTACATATCATCAAGTCCCCAGTGGTGTATCCATGTACAAGGGCATTAGATTATTTCATGTGCATGGACATCAAGACATCTGCTTCCCAAGATACGCCCCTAACTTCATCCTTGGGGCCGGGCAGGTTGATGGTGAGATATTAAAAATGCTTTGGGCTCCCCTCAATTAAGTCTCTCAAAGCACCCGTGCTATGAGCAAGTCACATAGGCAAGCTTGCATTCAAAAACATTGATTCCACTGCGTCCTCTGAGGACACAGAGCCTGGATTGCACAGAAAAAAAAGGCACAGCAAAACTGGCTGCATAAAGAAGATGCTATGGATATATACAAAGTCTCTATAGCAAAATTAAAATTATCCAGCAAAGCAGAAATCCAGCTGCATTTATTGCAACAGGAATCATGAAATGGAGTGGTCTGAGGAACCGCTATTTGGTTATCGGTGGGTCTGAAGTTGGAAGAGACTCAGTAAGTCCCCGGGATCCCAGGAATACATACCTTTTGAATACTGATTAACTCTACCAAACAGGATACAGCTGCAAATGTATGCAAAACAAATCAACAGAAAGGGAACAACCGCAGAACATCTGGAGTTAGAGGAAAGGTGTTAATGCCTGCTCTACTGTGTAGATGCTTTCAACCTCAAGGTTGAAAGGTATCTAGGCAATATTGATGTCACCAAGTTGCTTGAGGAGGTCCCGGGGTGGCAAAACTCCGATAAAGACCATGATGCAGAAGACATAAATCTGTCTGACCTCCTGGGTTCCTTTGATGGCAATGATGAGCCTATTGAGAGGAGAAAATTGGTGTTACCCTTTAACTCAGGAAAAAGCACTTGCAAAATTGAAGGCCTACACCATCTAGTAAGTCAGAAGCTTATACTCTGGGAAGGTCAGGCCAACGATGCCTTGCATCAGATACATATACTACTGGGTCAAAAGTCATTTCTGTTCAGGACAAAGGTGAGAGTGGCCTGGGGCTCTCAAAAGAAAAAGTTGAAGGCCTGGGCAGAGGTTACCCATGTGAAAGCCGACGTCAAAGTCCACTCAGCCATATATAAGAGAGCCTGGCATGCAATCATATCTCTTGGGAGCTGGGCAGAAATATTACAAAAATATCAAGAGCTCAAACCAGACCACCTCAAAACATAAGCCACAAAGCATTACAGAATAATACAGAAAAAAACAGTGACAGTAGAAAGAATGACATGTACTAGTAAAACAAGAAACAATGTAATGGTGAACGGGTAGTATGACTCTATTGTGCTGCAGCTTCAGCCTAAAAGGATATAAAAAACAGTTAGCAGCATCAAGAGAATGATAGAATAGACCTTTACCTTTTAGCTTCTGTTACAACCAAGAGTTTAGTTACTCTGGCGCACAACTCAGACAACGCTGTAAAGGTAGTAAGGGGAGTGGTTACCCTTAGGATAGGACCAAGTTAGTTGTGGGTAAACAACAGGAGGACTTGCTGAGGAGTCTTCTTGATCTATTGGGTATTTATACTAATACAGGTTGTTTGTACATGTGCACTATACAGTTGATGAAGGTAGTGGCTGATGATGTTATGGGGCACAGCCCATGTGACCAGCTCCACTGTGTGAGATACTTGTAGCTAAAAATAAAAAAAGGCAGCGCAGTGCAAGAAGGTGGAGTTTGAATAAAATGGAAAGTGCCACCTGGCACAATGTGTGAAAACTACGAAAGAAAGTTAGAGTAGAGAATGAAATTTAAAGGTCCAAAAATTTTGTATTGTAACACTACCCCCCTTCTAAGGCTCGACTTCCAGGCTCGACCAAATATCAGAGGTAGCAGTTGAATTTTTGGGCATAGGTTGAAAAAGGGAATTAAAAAGGTTTGAATCCATGCCTCTAAGCTTCCTAGGAGCCAAGGGATTCTTAGAATAAAATTCACAAACAGCATTGCGGGAATTGTCCAGATGGGCTTCTGGTTCCCATGTTCTGTCCTTGTCTCCATAGCCCTTCCATAGGACTAGGAACTCTAACTTTCCAAGCCTCAAGTGTGCATCCACCGCCCGTTCGACTTCAAATTCTTCTTCACCTTCTTGGGTGACTACAACTGGTCCAGGCCGGTCTACGCGCTGTCCCAGCAGCAGCCCTTTATAGGGTTTCACACGGCTAATATTGACTGTGGGTACTACTCATTCATTTTGGGAGTTTTACCTCCACTGCATTTGGTTTGATTTCTTTAATCTGGTAAGGGCTAATCCACTTTTTGGTCAGTTTTCTAGACTGCTGATCTTTTAATTTTAAGTGGTCGGTATCTAACCAGACCTGGTTGCCAAACTTGTAGTTAGGGGCCTTAGAGTGTCTACACTCTGCCCTGTTTTTCATCTGCTCTGCAGTTTTGAATAATGCCTTGCTTGTTTGTCTCAGACAGATTTTATGTGTTTGACCATAGTTCCCACAGCCTCACTTTTACTTTTTCTAGGTTCTACACCCATTCTAGGGAGGTATGATCTTGTAATCTCAAATAGTGCCTTCCCTGTAGCTGACAACTGTTTGATATTATAGGAGAACTGGGCTATCTTTAGCTACTTGGCCCTATCTGTCTGCCTATTATTTATAAATATACAGAGGTATTGGTATTGTTTCAACTCCTGCTGTTTGCAGATGGAACACTGTTGATGATTTAGGTTTGATGCCTAGTATCTGGCAAAGTTCTTTCATGAATTTGCTAGCAAATTGAGGTGCCCTATCAGAGATAACTGTTTCTGTTAACCTGTGGATAGACCATAGAAAATCTTTAAATAAGTCTGCCGTACCAGTGGCTGTAATAATTTTATTGATGGGAATAAATACCACTTCCTTGGAGAAGCGATCTACTACCACTATTACCGAATCATACAAGATGGATGGCCACCAAGCCAGTTGTTTACAGGGCCAGGCATGGGGCTGGGGATGGGAATGCTACCAACAAGTATGCTTTCAGGCCTTTCCATAGTAGTGGTATTTTCTGCGTACAAGACAGTATCTAGGCTACCAGGAATGACAGGAACTGTGGGGCTGTGAGAAGGAGGCTATGGAGGAAGTGGTCACAGTGGAACTCTGAGAAATGCAGGAGGTTTATTTTATAGGTTTTGGGCCGTTTGGAGTACAAAAAAAAATTTACCCTTTGGCCGGAATATCTTCCAGCAGAAGAGGATCACTTTGATCAAAGAGAGACAGACAATGAGAATGTAAGCAGTGGTGTATCAATCCAGCTTGTCACTGAGGAATTACTGCTTATGTTCATTAACAGCTTTTATATCTAGATAGGAGAACAAAAAGTATATTCAAGAGAATATCATAACACAAGAAACTTCCCACTACCACACATTATACCAGAAAAAAGCCTACCACCACAAACACCCCCACTTGCCCCAATTGAGGATGTTGAATTTTGATTACCAAGATCAGCATGCAGAATCCAGCAGCACAGAAAGCACATTCTTGAATGAAATGATGGATACTCTTCTGAGAATAGTCACACCTCACCCAAAAGAGGAGGAAATAGAGAAATATGAAAGCAGACTGAGAAGACAGTCCAAGAAACATGCCTCATATACCAGAACCAACTTGAGAGGTACTTGAAGAAGTGAGCATCTTATAGACAAGGCTAAAAGAAGTTATAAAAAATGCTTCACCACTTCCAGAAAAGGTGGAAAGAAGTAGAACAACTATGGAAAAACCAGAAAACTTTGATGGAGATAAAACAAAATCAGGCTTTTAAAAAATTCCTTTTACTCCATTTTGAAGATGATCAGGTCTATTTCAAAAAAGACAGAAGAAAACCATCTTTTGTTTTATCTTTTATGAAGAAAAAAAAGCAGCAGCTTTTCATACAGATTAGCTAGAGAACAGAGTAAATACCCAGTAATTAGGGCTAGATATGAAAGGCACATACAGGAGCTAACCTTATTTTGCAAATAAGATGGAAGAACAACTTAAGGACAGTTTTGGAAAGGAGAATGGAAAAAACAAAATTCTGACTCTCGAATAGGGAGCAAAAACAGCACAAGCTTTTTTTGAAAGGTTTGAAGAAAAAATGAGATAGACTGGTTATACCAGCAGAGGTAATGAAGAGTTCTTGGTATCTTTGTTATAATAAAACATGAACAAACCACTTATAGGCAGGATCATCTACGGTGGGCATATCCCTTGCAATCACCAAGAATAAAAACATGAACTTGTAACAACCAAGAGTTTGTTACTCTGGCGCACAACTCAGACAAAGCTATTAAGGTAGTGAGGGGAGTGGTTACCCTTAGGATAGGACCGAGTTAGTTGTGGGTAAACAACAGGAGAACTCGCTGAGGAGTCTCCTTGATCTATTGGGGTATATATACTACTACAGTTTGTTTGTACATATGTACTGTACAGTTGATGGAGGCAGTGGCTGATGATGTCATGGGGCACAGCCCGTGTGACCAGCTCCACTGTGTGAGAGACTTGTAGCTAAAATAAAAAAAAGGCAGTGCAGCGTGAGAATGTGGAGTTTGAACAAAATGGAAAATGCTGCATGGCAGTGTGTGAAAACTACAGAAGAAAGTTGAAGAGGAGAATGAAATTTAAAGGTCCAAAAATTTTGTATTGTAACAGAACTTATCCAGATTGACAATATCTGGAGAGAAAGGGAAAAGGAGAAGAAGGTGAGTAGATGACTGGCAAAGGAAAACAGCTGGAATGAAGTGAAAAGAGAGTTGAAGCTTGCTAGGATGGTACATGATATACCTATATTGGGAGTGGGGGAAAATGGAAGTAGATAAAGCAAAGTTTCACACTGAAGGTTAGTATTACCGGTGTGGAGAAAAAGAACACAAAAGCTTTGAATGCAAAGAAACAAGAGAAAAAAAGCCTCAATTGAAAATTAGGAAGCTTCTAGAAAAATGACAAGTGAAGAGAGAGAAGGTCTCAGAAAACCAAATTCAAAATTGTTTTTCTATTCTTCCTGTTGAAACCTCTAAATTACCAGAAGGTCATATAACAGAGAACAAAAACAATTTACAGTTTAATAACAAAGAAAGAAAAACAAACTGAATTCAAGGATGCAAAACAAATAAGGACATATCATCCAAAGTGCAAATGGAAGGAGAATCATTGGAAATCACAGCAAAAGCAACAAACACTGAGATACCCATACCCGATGTGGCATGCCCTATGGAGAAAAGTGCAGTAGAGATTATGGGAGACAGGTCAGGAACCCCTATACAAAACCTAGAAAAAACAACTGCCTAGACTCCAAAATTGGTAGCAGAAAGGCTTTGAGATCAAAATAAAGAACAATTGACCAGAATCTTGAATGCCTGGACACATCCCAAAAGGAGCAAAGAAGTCACAAAAGATATGATCAAAGAAATTAACGAACTGTAAATTAAAGATGTAACCCTAGTAGTTGTAGAAATAAGTTGCCCCAAAAAATACATCAGAGGAACATAACACAATCAAATGAATATCACATGTAGATGAACAACCCTAGATACTCAATAATTAACAACAATTGAAGCATTTTTGGATAGCAGATGCACAGGGAGTTTTATCAACCCCAAATTTGCGACAGATTAACAATACAAAAGGAAAAAAATACCGAGATCAATCCCTGTCTATAATGCAGACAGAACTCTAAACAAAGACAAATCAATTAAAGAATTTGTAGAGTTACTATTAAAAATCAACAGCCATTTTGAATGAATCCACTTTTCCACCACTAATCTAGGCAATGGAAGAATGTTCTTAGGACAGAAATGGCTAAAGAAACACAACCCAATAATTAACTAGAAGGAATCACAGATATCCATTGAAAGATGTCCCGAAGAATATAAACCAAGGATCCAACTCTCTGACTCAGAAAGAATTGATTTATCAGAAGAAAATCAATTGATCCAAGTCAATCTGATAGACACCATAATAAACAATCAATATTACTGCATAAAAGCCCAAGGCAAAACAGTATGATGATTAGCTAAAGCCACAAGTAAAGATAATAAAAAATGTGGATTTGAAGAAAAATTGTCCCCAGACACCTACATGAATACAAAGACATATTTGATAAAAAGGTGTTTGATATTTTACCAGAAAGAATAGAATTATGCATTTGAACTAATACCAGGAAACCATTCCCTTGATTGCAATATTTACCTATTAGCCTTAGTT